TTGTTTATATAATATAGGGCATTTAAAGACGGATCACAAACGGGCAAGGTTAGATCCAACGTAGAAAGCAATGCAAGTAGTATCCCCGGCCCGCGAAGTCTGTATAGCCGCACGTGATCTCACCCCAATTAAGTCCAAATAAACGCATTCACGTCGAACACCAACACATCATTTCTCAATATTCCACAATGGTATGCAGCTTCTTTTCCATACATTGGATGTGATGTGTTCTGAAAGATCCCAGATGCTGATATCTCCATAGGAAAGCCCACACGAGCATCAGCAGACGGTGCTGCTTTCTCGCATCATCACCAACGTTGTATGTCATGACTGAACCACATCTGGGGGATATACTTTGCTCATCGTTTGTATAGGAGAAGCTCAATGAAGCCGTTATGGTCATGAACAAAGGTCTCCAGGTAAGTTTGGGCCACCTTCATTGACATGATCATAGTATTAACTCTCAATCACAGGAAGTCAACATCCAGAACATGAATGTTGAGCTTGTGGCGCAGATGTTCAAGAACTACCAGTCTAATGTTCTCTTCCATCTCGAAGGTATATATTACTCCACTATAATATATCGCCCTTGAAATTCTCTACTAACACCCGATAGCCACGGAGAACCTCCAAGATCCATCCTAAGGATGAACAATTTCCTATAACGAAGCAATGTGTGGATGAGCCTGCAATTAGTCAATGATACCAACTTCTAAAATTCAATAGGCACATGTAGATTGTTGTAGTTAATCGTTGCATCCCTGTACTCCGTATGAGTGATAGATAACTAGTGATAGCCTCCATTCTTGGCGGTCCAACTCCGCCAAACCTCATCAGCCGCGTTTGTGTCGTTTGCCTCTTTGTCAATCCGTTGCCCTTTCCACGGGTTCATTAGTTTCCTCCTATCCCGACCTCCTTTCCCATGCAGTGAACTCTACTCGCCATCTACGATCTCCGATCCCAATAGCTCCTGGTTTCTGGAGCGCAGCCCGCCATGACGATTACTTCTATGAAGACCCTCCTACCAGCTCGCATTGCATCCAATGCGACTGAGAAGCGAACCGAGAAACCTCCTCCACAACTCCATGGAGTACAAGACTTCCCATTCAAGGGCTATCACCCTCCGCAACCAGAGGGGTATCGGCAGAGCCAGGCCCATCCCGACACCAGTGCTATCGTCATTGATAATGGTAAGGCAATTCAGATAGTTTGCGATTCAACCTTCCTAATACATGTGGTTCATGTGCAGGCTCCCACCTCGTCAAGGCCGGTTGGTCTTTCGACAAAAATCCCCGATTCGCCATACCTCCCGTCATGAGTCGATACCGTGATCGCAAGCTGAATCGCCAGTGCCAATTTATCGGATACGATGCCTATGTCGATGCGACTACGAGAGGACAACTGCGCAATGGTTTTGATCCCGGTTCTAGTGTTGTCGGTAACTGGGATGTCATGGAAGGCGTGTTGGACTATTTATTCCTCAAGCTAGGCGTGGATGGTGAAAATGGAGGCGTCGGTCGCCCGATCTTGATGACAGAGCCAATCGCCAATATGGCATATTCAAGGAAGAGTGAGTATCTGGTGGTTTCAGGCCCAGTATGGTGGTTGCTGACACTCCTTCAGTGATGAATGAGATCCTCTTCGAATGCTACTCCGCGCCATCGGTGGCCTACGGTGTCGATTCCCTTTTCTCCTATCGCTATAACGGTGGAACGGACGGTTTGATTGTGGATTCATCGCACACGTCCACTCATGTCATCCCAGTCATGAACTCGAAACCGATGTTCTCCAACAGTACTCGTCTTAACTGGGGTGGCCTGCAGAGCGCCGAATACCTCATGAAGCTCATGAAGCTGAAGTACCCGACTTTCCCAACTCGTTTGACGGACGCACAGATGGAGGAAATGGTTCATAAGCACTGTTACGTTTCACAAGACTACGATCGCGAGTTGAGTGGGTTCCTCGACTGGACAGGACTCGAGGACCGTGACCGCGTCATTCAGTACCCGTTCACAGAGCATATTATCCAGGAGAAGACTGAAGAAGAGCTGGCGCGGATTGCGGAGCGCAAGAAGGAGAGCGGTCGTCGCCTTCAAGAACAGGCCGCAAGGATGCGACTTGAGAAACTAGTGAAGAAGGAGCAAGAGCTGGAGTACTGGAAAGACCTGCAAAATAATCTAGCCAACGAGACTAAGAAGGAGATTCGTCGGGTCCTAGAAGCCGAAGATTTGAAAGACGAGGCTGCGCTTGAAAAATTGATTCGCGAGCTAGAAAAATCCATCAAACGCTCGCGAAACAAGGACCTAGGTATTGAAGAGACCGAAGAGCAGCCGGAGGAAATGACATTCCCTATGCTCGATATCCCAGACGACCAACTGGATGAAGCTGGGTTAAAGGAAAAGCGTCACCAACGTCTGATGAAGTCCAACGTCGATGCCAGACTGCGTGCCAAAGAAGAGAAGGAGCGCGAAAAGGCGCGTGTTGAGGAAGAGGAGCGTATAGACCGTGAAACACGTGAGAATGATTTCGAGAACTGGATTGCGAAGCGCCGCAACAATCGCCAGGTATGTTGGCCAGGCAGGATATTCTAAATTCCCGTGCTAATCTTTTTCAGGGCATTCTACAAAGAATCAAAGACCGTGACCGCTTCACGGCTGATCTTGGAAATCGCAAATCGCTGGCCAGTCAGATGCGTATGAAGACGCTCGCCAACCTAGCATCCGATGGTCCTAAGAAACGCCGCCGTGGCGGAGATGACGATGACTTCGGTGCCAATGACGAGGACTGGGGTGTTTACCGCACCGTAGCTGTCGGCGAGGGCAGTGACGATGAAGAGGAGGAGGATCTCAACGGAATGCTCAACTCCGTAGAGAAGGAGCTCCTGGAGTACGATCCCGAATTCAACGAGCACAACACTTTCGCCGCACAGTCCGACTGGACCAAGAGTCTTGTGCACGCGTTCCTTCGCGGACCCTGGCCTTTCGACCCAGAAAGCCAGCGGGAGGCACACCAACTCCACCTGAACGTCGAGCGCATCCGTGTACCTGAGGTTGTGTTCAAGCCGTCCATTGCTGGTCTCGACCAGGCTGGTCTGATCGAGGTCGCGGCCGATATCATTAACCAACGCTATTCGAACCCGGCAGACCAGTCCCTTCTTTTGAAAGATGTGTTCTTGACTGGAGGAAATACGTTGTTCACCGGTTTCGATGAACGCTTCCGTAAGGAAGTCCGCGGATTCCTGCCCATCGACGCTAGACTGAATGTACGCAAGGCATCGGATCCTGTCTTCGATGCTTGGAAGGGCGCGGCACAGTGGGCTTCTGGTGGTGACCTAGGCCGATCCTCGGTCACGCGGCAAGAGTATCTGGAGAAGGGCAGCGAATACATCAAGGAGCATGAACTTGGTAATGCTACATGGTGAGGGTAAAAAAGCGAGATCCGAAAACACCGCTTGGGCGCACAGGAGTCAAATGGGTCTGCTTATCCGGCGTGGTATAGGGCATGTTTTTTGATACTTAAAAGATGTTATTGTTGAGTCCGGTAGTAAGCGAAATATGACATGTTCAGCCCTCCGTATGAATGACTACAACTATGTTAATAGGGCCTGTCTCTCTCGCCTTCAATGGATAACCAACCCTGTTTCCCTTTTACGACTCTCTCAATCATTCTTATATTAACTCATATACTCCTCCCGTATAGCTGAGCTCATCTCACAATGCTCTCAACCTCTGTCTCCCCTGCTCTTTTCTCCCTTTTTCTATTTCCAAACCCCGGACCTGTCAGTTTCTTCAAGAACGATGGCGAGAGTATGGCCTCTGGGGTTATTCACCTTATGCCTGTTTAGAGTCGATGCTATGGCTTACACCTCCACTGATCAATAAAAACAGCAAAAGCTAGCTATGGTCTTTCGTTCTCGGCTGGGTCGGAGCATTCTTGTAGACAAGTCCATCCACAACATGATCAGTCGAGGACAACAATGTTGTACGGACGAATATGGTCTATTACACTAGTTACACAACACTTTGGTGTGGCCATCACTGGCATCGTTTACCATTTCCAACCATCACCAAACAATAACACTAGTTGCATCTCTCTTGAATATTGTAAAGCTCGCTGATCCAAGTCCAAGTGAGCAAAGGGATGCCACTATCCCTAGATAAGGCCGAGTCCATCGAGCAAAGCTTTAATAAGGCTGAGGCCACTGTCGATCATGACTCATGTAGGGAAAACCCCGCTATGTGGTCGTGCTGCAGAGTAGAATCATGTTATTCTGGCGGTTATGCACCAGTGGTACAATATACTCCCGTTATCGCTCTGATTGGCACTTGGTAACTATCACATCACGAGGTTAACCAGACGTTGGATTATCTTCCGCAAGCTGCCGACTGGGCTTTTCGTTTGTTTGACGTTATTCATTTTCTTTTTTTCTTCATGTAAACCTTAGAACATTTAAATCGATTTGAGCTGTCTCCTTGCGTATTAGAACATGGTGTTGTCGATCATCCATTGAACTTCGTATACAACCAGAAGTTAAACTTACTGTACGATATAGTTCGAATAGCTACACAAATTCAAGGGTAAACAACAATGTCCAATTGCAGGAAAAAAAAAAATAAACGGCGCTAAATTGGGATCTGGCCCAGATATGGTTGGTTCTGACTTCATGCAGAGGCCATCATGACGACGCACCCTGGGGAATACTTGCTTTTCATCTTTACTGGTCCTAACCCTGGTGATGGTGATGGATGTTGCATGATACTTGGCGTCAGTCTTGTTTGTTTGATTACTAGTAGTTCGATGGAACCAGTGATGTTGGGATGATCGTGTCTGAGATATAAAATCCTGCTCCCTGCTCTTCTGCCGTGGAATTTGATTCTTCTTCTTTTTTTACTTTCTTGCTTGTATTTTCTCTATCACTCGATTATCTTCTCATAGGCTTGTCACACTCGACCTTTGGTGTGTCCCTTACACATTTTGTATACTTGGTTCTTCTACACACAATGGTCTTCTTCTCAACAACCCTTGCTCGTCCACTGCAACTGGCCACTCGCGTCATGCAGTGGAGTAGCGCTGTCATTGTCATGGGCCTGACCTCGTTCTTCATCAACCGCGGTCCCCGTGGCCAGCATACTATCTACCAGGAAGTCATTGTATGTTATTAGAGCTTATTTCATTAACTGATCATCACAGAGTCATATATTCTAACCGCAAGCTTAGGCTGTCCTCTCAGTCGTCTTCTTCCTCCCGGCTTTCATTTCGCCATTCCTGCCCTCGTCATTGGGCAAATTCGTACTCGCCATTGACGTTGTCTTCTCCTACCTGTATGTTAACTTTCAAACCATATTATTTACATCGAAGTCTCTAATATCCATTCTAGCTGGTTGACTGCCTTTATTTTCTCCGCGCAAGACTACAGCTCGGGACGATGCTACTTCGCTATCCCCGCCGGCATCGGCTGCAAGCGCAAGAGGGCCAATGAGGCTTTTATCTTCCTGGCTTTGTATGTCGCCTGTATTCTCGTAACTGCCGTTACCTGCTGGAAACTAATCTCATCGCAGTATCTTCACCTTCTTCGGTATGTTCCTTGAAGTCGCCGCTCTCTGGGCCTATCGCAGGGAAAACACCACTGTCCGACACACAGACGAGGATAAAGTCAATGCTGGGACTCGTCCACCCCTTGATGCGCCTGCAGCTCCTGCTGGAACTGTCTAATTGGTGTTTCGGAAACCTCCCTGGACAAATATACCTCTACTATCTCTTGACGTGGTCAATGGTTGTGGATATATCATTTACTGGGATGTTCAGGGAACCGTTTTGGGGTTTTTGGATTTTGTTTTCTCTGCGTATTCTTTTCTTTGGTTTTATCTTGGTGAACTTGAACTTTGGTAGCGGTTGGATTGAACATATGCTACTATGAGCTGGGATGGGAGCGGGATGAAGTTGGCATCTGATGGACGTACATCCATCACAGACTTGGGATACCTTTGTTTTTTTGGTTTTTTTTTTTTTCAATGTGCTCTTTTCTATTAATCCTTAATCGATTAATTACTTCATAATGTGGTCGAAACCTTGGGGTGTTGGTGTTCGATATAGTGATACCTTTCCAATCTTAACATGTACAAGATCCATTGATGGCATAGTGGCCTGATTCACAAAGGTCAAGTAAGAACCTTGAAGTAAATGTCTAAGACTGCCAGCAAAGCTGTACTTCGATTTTCTGTCTAGCTATTTACTGTATAAATTGAATGCACAGATTCAATAAAAGAAGCTAGTCAATCGGTATCTCGCATTAAAAAAAAAAGGTGCCAGCGCGAAGCAGAGCAGATCGTATGTAGTGTTGGAAGCCACTTACCAAAAGGTCAAGTCGTTGCCCCATTGGACTCGAAATATGATGCCGGGCTGGGTTTCAGGATAATGTTGCAACGGTTAGATACTAGCTCGGCGAGGAGCCATCGTCCGCTGTAGCTTGCGCTTTTCCTCGGTTTCCTCCGGGATAGGTAGTGAGCCCTCACTCTTCAAACGGTCGAGGAACTCCTTTCCATATGCGTAGCCGACTTTGTAGATCTCGTCGAATTTGCCGAAGTCTAGGGTGCCATATGGGTCGATAGGAGGACGCATGTATAGACAGCCAGGCGTACTCTTTGCGCGGTCAAGATTGTCGAACGACGAGACATAGGCCAGTCGGGCTTGTATCTCGGAAAGTGTAGGCGGGTTCGGGAGTGATGAGAAGGGGTTCCAGCGGTTGAACACCGACCAGAATCCTGACAATGAGTCTCCGAATCCCTGGGGCGTGGGGTCGTCAATAGACCCAACATCAATCGCGAAGATGACATCCGCTCCAAGACTTTTCATGTGTGCTACGGTGAGATTGTCGATATAGCCACCGTCCAGTAGCATACTCCCTTCGTCACAGATAGGAGGCATCAGGCCGGCCAACGACATCGAAGCCCGAACGTACCGCCAGACATAACCAGACGAGTGATACTCAATTCGAGATCGGCTGATGTTGGTTGTGTTGCAGTAGAACTCCAACCAGAAGTCTTCGATTTGGCTGTCTCCAAAGGTCTTGAATATCCCACGGTTGAACTCATGACCGGTAGTGTATGAAACAGTGGGATAGGTCAGGTCCAAGGCAAACCGCCACATACTGCCCATGCGCCCGGAGAACTTCTTGGCTCGCCCGTACATGGGCACAACATCAGCATCGCGCGCGTACAGAGCTCCAATGAAAGAACCGATTGATGTGCCACCGATGATATCAATTGGGATTCCGGCCTCCTCGAGCGCTTTAATAACGCCAACTTGCGAAATGCCACGCGCTCCACCTCCGCCCAGTACAAGTCCAACAGACTTGCCGCACAAGCGCCGAGCCAGCCGATGGAAGTCACCCTTGAAAGGGGTTTGCGGGGAATAAAGGGGGGTCTGCTGTGCACGCCGGGACGTATACTTTTGGATTTCGGCTTGTAGAATTTGCACGCGCTGCTTCAGCACAGTGCCGAACTTCTTACTTGGCGGGTGTGAAGGTTCGGTGGTCGAGCGGAAGGCCATTTGAATGTGGTGATGGCCACCGTTGATCCACACCCGGTTCTTGAGCCACTCGCGAGTGAGTCCAGGCGAACAGTATCGTTCCGCGTGCAAAAGAACCAGTTCTTTGCGAGCAGTGGTCTTCATACCCAGCAGGAACCGCTCATATTCACCAATTCTGGGCGAAGACTCCGCGAGGCCCACCAACAGAATAGAGTCAGCTTGTGCAATGCAAGTCTGAGTCCAGGGTGCGTTCACGTTGGTGTCGGCGATGTACAAGACCATTCCAAATTTCTCCTCAAGGTCAGCCAGGTATTGGGAAAGCTTAAGCTTCCCCATCTTACTAAAGGCATGACGACCCAAATGGTTCAAAATCGTTGCTTGGTTGAGCGATGTGACACCTCTGGTCACACCAATTTGGTGCAACGCCTGCAAGAGTCTATGTCCAAATTCCACGACAGGGACGCCAGCCATGACCGGAAGAATTGCCACAGTGCGAAGATTGACTGTTGAGGTTGCAGTCTGGACGCCGCCAGCATGTCCTTGTTCAATCCCCTTTTCGGACAGCGGATGCTCGACTAAATCACGCATTCGCTGGGCAATTAGTTTAGAGACCTGGATGGTAATTCCAGGATGTTCCTGAGCGAGACTGTTGAAAAGAGACCGGGGAACTTGGCTAGTTCCGTTTCACGGATAGCATGCAAGGTAGACGGTCTCGTGGATTCAGTCATGACCTCGAGTTCACCAACACTCTCACCCTGCCCATGTTCGCCAATGACAGTGATCTTTCCGTTTTGTCCCTCAAGGACAGACCTCAGACGACCGTTCAGAACAAGATAAATAGCATCGCTTTCATCTCCTTGGTGATAAATCACCTGTCCTGCGCTGACCTGCACCCACTCTAGCGCAAAATCAATGTGGAGCAGCAAACGGGGCAGCAGCCTTGTCAACCGTTTTGCCAGTGTTAATAATGCAGCTGGATGTCTATCTGCGATTCTCTCGAGGGAAGCACGGGGAAGGAACCCAACGTAAACATCCGTCTTGGCGACAACATCGGTGTACGAGCGGTACGATGCAAGAGCACCTACATACCCTTGAATGCCACCAGGTTTGATCAGGTAAAGTGATTTGCGGGACTGGGTCTTCCGTCGAGGGTCATTGCCGCCTGCTGCACCAGGGGTGCGCGACGATGCTGTCGTTGTTCGTCTCAGCTTCGGGAACAGCTCCTCTTGCGCTTGCGAGGCAGATCCATGGGAGGAGCCAATAAGGGTATCATCGCGTTCACTCGCCGGAATACCCACGTCCAAGAACCCATCAATGACGTAGTAGAGACCTGGATGGCGCTCACCCTGTTCCACCAGAACTGAGCCTTGAGGAAAGTAGACTACTTCAATATCATGGCGGAGGTCTTCCCGTAGGTTGATGACAGGCGATGTCCCCCCTGCGCTCGTCACTGATATAGAGGACATCATGGATTCAGATTCGCCGTCGCCAGACGCTTCGTAGGGATCCATGAAGCCAAATGCATTGGAGAATACTGCCTTCTGGCGGCGGTTATCGTAGGAGAGAAGTCTCGGCGATGCCTCGCCTGAGTGGCTGCTCTTGCGCAGATTATCGCGTGCGCCTTCGGTAAGCCCAATGCCCTTCATAATACAGTCCAAGATCGACTCGCGGAAAATAGCGTCCTCGTCAACTGACTCATTTCGCTGGAAGGTTGATGGCAGGCCATTCATTGCGGCAGCGGATACAAATTGAGGTTGCTCCCGCTCAGTAAGAGGGGTCTTGAGGCGAGGTGCCAAATGATCATGTCGCGGTCCAAACCGGGACAATTGTATTGTCGATAGCAGATCGCCGGGGCTGACACCTGCCGAGTCCCTGTCAACGAATACAGATGGTGGCCTTTGTGAGCTTAAGGGTGTGAGAGCGCGCTCCTTTGCTTGTAAAAAGGCTTCTTTTCTGAGAGTACTGCTCGAGCGTCCTCTGCGGCTGACAGAAGGGTTGTGAAGAGCAATACCTTTTCCAACTTCCTCCGGTCCCAATCGCTCTCGCTCTCTCGTGAATTTGTCCTTCAGCCGATCCAAGGCACTTCCTCGAAGATTATTAGGAAGGTCCCAAGAGGTGAATTTAGACATTTGCCGTTCTATGCCTAAAACCTCGCTAGTCAGGCCTAGATAAGAATGCGCCGTGGCAAACGTGACCCGCTGGAGACGTGTCAAGATAACCTGGACAATGTGCGACGTTGCCCGTGGGTAGACTCTGGTCAGACGACGGAATGCGCTCGCTGGAATGATAGCAATCGTCGTGTCGACTGTAGCCCGGGCCACAATATCTGGGTGTACTGACTTGCGGCGTTTTTTCTGGGCATTTTGTTTAGTCCCCGAGTACGGGGTCTCGTCGGGGTCCTGTCGAGGCATGGCGTGGCTCTCTCCGAGGTTCAGCGGAGGCACTGGTGGCAATGTATCGCTAGATCCACGCGCTACAGTGTTTAAGTTCGCGGAGTGTCTCACGGTGGACCCGGGACTGACAGCGAAGGTATCAGGCACATGAGTCTGGCCAAGAGTAGGGCTGGATATACTGGAGCTGTGACTTCGCGAGTTACGAAGCTCAATATCTTCAGTAAACAGCTGGAGGATAGAGAACAAAGACGACATCGAAGCGCCGTTCTTGACCTCGGTGAGCAGCTGATAGCCTTGTTTGCCGTGAATGCCGGGGTCTTCCTCGTCGGAGGAGGCATCGTCCATGTGGAGATTCTCTTGTGAGCCGAACTTCTCTTCCCGTGCTGATTTCACGAAGATCTGGACCAGCCCATCCACCACCATACAGAAGCCCTTCTCATCTTCCAGCATGAGCGTCTCTCCCGCAATCAGCTTCCTGGTCTGCATCGTTCGGGTCAACTCGTGGAAGACGGGCCGTTCGAGGTAACCAAAGACTTTGATAGCACTAAGAAATTCATCGAGATAGTTGGCAAGCCCTGGTTTTGAATCGCCTTCCTGGATATCGGGGAACAAATCGATCTGGGCTTCTTTGCGTTGAGGCTCTGGGGGTAGGCGACTATACATATTCAGGTACCGGTAACGGATGAACCAGCTAACGGTCGATACCAGGGCAAGGACGATTAACATTCTAAGAGTCATGGAGAATCAGCAAGAGTCAAAAATTCAGGTGAAACCAAGACCAAGAAGACCTACATGGTGGTAAAATTCATGGTGAATGTCAAGCTCATAGAGAAGAGCGTGAAGAGCCATGTAGGCAGTGTAATTGTCGAGAATGTGATTATCGAGTAGAGAACACTCGGAAATGTATGAAATACAAGGGTAAACACCCATCCGATCCACCCCGCCATGATTGAGGGAGCTGGAGGGGACGGTGGAGAGGGGAGATAGGCGCGAGAAGCGAGGGTATTAATGGAGGTTGAAGTTGGAGCCGTTAGACTGGCGAGGGACGGGACCAGGCCAGCCATGTTAACCACATGCAAGATTGGAAAGCTCCGCTTTGTGTTCCAGGTCTAAGGTTGAGACTAACTCAGATAGACTTAGACCAATGCAGACTTGAACCCAACCGTGGGCCCATTAGGCCTGAAAATTAAAAGCATCACTGTAATCCGTTGGTGTAGGTTGGATAAGAGAGGGAGGGATAGTTATGTTGTAGGTGAGAGGTGGATTAGTTTGGAGTCACCTGCAACTTTACATTTGAAGTCCTAGGCGGAGTGAGATTATCATGCCAAGTTATTATAATATGTATTCTGTTATTCTATATTCTATATTCAAATCAATAGTTTATTACTATTACTATTACTACTATTATTCTATATTATTATTATAATATTTATTCTATGATGCTATGATTCTACATATGTATGATTCTACCGAAATATGCCGGTGATAATAGGCCAATCCACAGTGATGTAATTGTTTACAATCTTTAAAAGCCTTATACGTAGTACAAATAAGTAGCAACACAGATTCAATTTGATATACATTAATAAATTAAAATAAGAGAAAATCTAGATAGATATTATCCTTGTGGTCTACAAATTAAGAAATCATAGAACCCACATTGATGTGTTGTTCTACAAGTGTACTCCGTACAGAAAATATATATAACAAGTTAACTATACGACGTTGCATTTTCAAAGACCATTTCAACTAAAATACATAACATTGATAATATGCGAAATTAAATACTAGACTCAATTATACTAAAAATACAAATAAATAGCCAATAAAATAATACAATCATATAACTATTAGTCCTACTAACTAGTTAGTTAGTATAAATCCAAGTCTCCAACTTATCAAAGAACAGCCGAAACCGACCTTCCACATGGCAGTTCCGCCTTGGCCCAAACTTGGAAACCAATGCTCCCCCTCACTTCCCTTTGCGGCCCATTGCTATTCTTTTTGTTTTTAATAAACACCCTTGCCAGTGGTCTTGAGTTTCTACATTCTATTGTTGTCTGGGTTCTCAGAACCGCGGCAATGTTTCAGGTACACACACACACCTATTCGCCCTTTTGATGATGCGCCTCTCTAACTAACACCTGTCACAGCGGCTCCGCGACGCTATCGACTCTCGCATAGCAGAGGAACAAGCACGTCAAAAGTCTGCCCAAGATAATATCGAACGCTCCAACTCCGCTCGCCGCCCACCCGGACGCAATCAGCCCTCCCGTCCGCGACGCAACACCGGTACCCCCGTTCGAGGGCCGGACCCCAAGGAGTTTGAGGCTGAATTCACTATCGGTGACGATGAATCCAGCAGATCTGGTACTCCCCAAGCAGATACACCAGAGGCTTCTTCGGAAGTAGGCGCCTCCAACGAGGGAGAAAGCGAGATGGCCGAAGGTAAACCGGCGGAGACGCCCGAGAACGAGACAGGGCAAGAGAAAGAGGCCAAGGAGACTCCGGCTGTGCTCCCACCTGATGTTCGCGCGAAACTCCGACGACTTGATAAGCTAGAGTCCCGATACCATGGTATGCATCTACCTAATCAGACTGTAGGGCGCAAGACTAACTGAGTGTATTAGAATTGCTCAAGGCTTATCGCACCGCTCACTCGCGCGTCCTCTCCATTGAACCCTTCGAAGCTGCCCTGCGCGAGAATACCCCGCTCACCTCGATCGGCGAACCCAAGGCTTTCACAGAATACCTCAACCAATCAACCTTGAAAAGCGACATGGTCATGGAAGAGCTGAAGCGCGTCACCGAAGAAAGAGAAGACTTCAGAAAGAAGTTCGAAGCCGCACAGCAGGCTACCAAGGAGGCTTTGGATGAGGTTACAGGCCTCAAAAATGAGAAACCTCAGACTGAGACAACCAAGGGCACAGACGGTACCGGTGAACATGCCAGTGAAGAGTTCTTTTCGTTTGATAAAGAAGTTCCCCGTTTGGAAAGCGAACTTAAGGAGAAGCAAGAAGAGGTTGAGAGCCTTAAAACCGAGGTCGAAAACCTCAAGCGCGATATGTCTGTCACCCGCGAGTCGACGGAAGGCATGGTGCAGAATTTGGAGACAGCCACCCGCGAGCTCGTCGAGCTGCGCGAAACTAAGGACAATCTGGATGCCGAGATTGAGACTCTGCAGACCTCCAAGAAGGCCGATGCCGATGACCTGAAGGCGAAGCTAGCAACTGCGGAATCTTCTCTCAAATTAACGACCTCCGAAGTTGATAAGCTTAAGTCGCAGCTCAAGGAGAAGAGCGAAGGAATCGACAAGCTCCAGAAGCAGGCCTCTGAAAGAACTGAACCTGATTCGAACCTCGCTGCCCAGTTGGAGATGACTAAGGAAGAGAAGAAAGCCGACGGGAAAAAGCTTGTTGTGCTCCAGGGTTTGGTTGATGGCCTCCGATCTCAGCTTAAGGAAAGCGAATCTACCGTGTTGCAACTGAAGACTGAAATCGACGAGAGGTGCGAATATACTGCTAAATTCCAAGACATGTTCGAATTTGTGGATGAGAGCTTGAAAGAGAACACGGCGTGGGTGTCTGCTAAGGAGAAAGTCTTCGCTGGGGAGTTGGCCGACTTCAAAGATGTTTTGAAGACCCTGGAACCGGTCAAGGAAGAGCCCACTTCTACTGTCCCTACCGAAGGAGTGGCACAGCCTGCTCAAGCTACTGCTGGTGGCGGTAGTGGAGGGAAGAAGAAGAACAAAAAGAAGAAGAAAGGTGGCAAAGCAGAGGAACTTTCCAAGCCGGCTGATACAACTCCCGCAGAGCAATCGGCCGCAGAGGCGACTGCCCCAGCTAGCAACGAGCTGGATGAGCTCAAGCAAAAGATCGAATTCCTCACCCAGCAATTGTCCGAAAAGGAGGCCGCCATTGACCGTCTTAGTTCTAAGCTGAAAGGCGAGGACAGTTTGAAGGAGGAGATTGAGTCCCTGCGCGATGACCTTATCAACATCGGCCAGGAGCATGTGACAGCCAAGGACAGGATCAAGGAGCTTTCAGCAGAAAAGACTTCTCTTGAAGATACTATCAGCAAGCTCGAGAAGGAATTGGCGGAACTCCGCACTAGCAACGCTTCGACCTCAGCTGACTCGGAGAAGGTGCACACTTCACTCAAAGAGGAATTCGATAACCTCAAGGTCCGCTCTTCTACCCTGGAAACAGATCTTTCCGCCGCCCAGCAGCTGGCTGCCACTCGATTCAAAGACCTTACAGACCTCCGTGAAACCCTTCAGAAGGTTCAACCCGAGCTGCGCAGCCTACGTGCTGAGTCTTCGGAGTTGAAGACCCTAAAAGAAACCCTCACCGGCAAGAATTCCGACCTGAAGGCCCTTGAGGGCAAGCATGAGGATATATGTGCTGAGCTGAAGACCTTCAAGTCGAAGATCTCAGAGCGTGACGCAGAAGTGGGCACCCTTAATAAGAAGATCCGACAGGAGACCGACAGCCGATTGAAGGCGGAGGAAAACCTTACTGTTGTCCAATCTAATCTGCGTTCTGCCGAGAGTAAAAAACAAGATGCCATCAACGCCAGAGACAAGACTGCAGGCGACCTTTCCAAGGCCCAAGACGGGTTGAAGAGTACTCGCGCTAGGATGCGGGAGATGGATGAACAGATTTCCCAATTAAACAAGGAACTTGGTGGCCTCCGAGAGGAGATCAAGCTAAAGACAGCCCAGCACAGCAGCGCCCAGAGTCTACTGAACAGCATGCGTGACCAGACCACGGAAGTTGCAATGCAAATGAAGGAGGCCCGTGAGCGATGCGAGAGCTTGGATGAAGAATTGGCTGACGCTCACCGTCTGCTAAGCGAGCGAACTCGCGAAGGCGAGACCATGCGCCGTCTGCTCAATGATATTGAGGGTCGTTCGGAGTCCAAGGTGCGAGACTTCAAGGAACGTATGGAGGCTGCTATCGAAGAGCGAGACCGTGCCGAAGATGAGGCCAGCACCCAAGGTCGTCGTCGTGCTCGTGAGATGGAAGAACTCAAGGGCAAGGTCCGGGAAGCTGAGCGCGCCCTGCGCACGGCAGAACAGGACAAGGAGGAACTTGAACAGTCCCAAAAGGACTGGCGTCGCCGTCGTGATGAGCTCGAGTCAGTATCCGAGAAGTCATCACAGGAAGTGACCGAGATTCGACAGGCCATGGCTGGTCTACGCGATGCCCTCGACGAAAGTGAAAAGCAAGTTCGTGATCTCGAGAAGGACAAGGCAGAGCTTCGTCGTTCAGTGGAAGAGACAAACAGCCGACTAGAGAAGCTTCGAAAATCCCACAAGACCCTTGGAGAGGACGTCCGCCTGCGTGGCTCCCCGTCCGGTCGACAATCCTCGCGGTCATCTATGGATTCAGGATCCCGCCGGGCAGTCGTATCTCCTGGCAGGAGCGAGACTCCCCTCGGCCCACCCAGCAATGCATCCATTGACTACATGTACTTGAAAAATGTCCTTCTCCAATTTTTGGAACAGAGGGATAAGAACTACCAGAAGCAGCTGATCCCCGTTCTAGGGATGCTGCTCCATTTCGATCGGTGAGTTTCCTACTGAACCCTCTTTCTAACCATGGTCACTAACGAACATAGAACCGATGAGCAAAAGTGGATGTCAGCCATCATGTCCAAATAATTGGCGTTTATACCCATGGGCGTGGATTGCATATCTAAGTCCTTTGCTCTGTACTATATTTTTCTGTAGACATAATAATGTGTTGTGTTCCTCTATCAAAATACAAAAAAAGCCCCCTTGTGTCTTATCCATTGAGATATCCCTTTGTCTGTCAAGAAGGCATTGAGATATAACACTTTATCACTCGATGCAAGTTGAAAAATCCATGTAAAATAATGTTTGAATGCCATATCTAAAGAAAATCGGTAATATTGCCTAATCCGGGATAGTAAAATCTTGGGGTTGTCTTGAAGGGCGTATACTAACTAGCAAGTACAAAAGCCCCAAGAAAATAAAAAAAGACCTCTCTTAAGTTCTGATCTGTACTTTTTCTCATGGATTACCTACGTCCTCTCTCCA